AAAAAAAAAAAGATGTGTATATAGGGAATTACACGTTTGATTTTATTTTATTGTACACGATATCGCAGGGTATGTAGACTCTTGCGTTGCTGCTGACGCGAACGAGCCTCGTCCTTTTACAATAATAAAAAAAAAAAAGAAGAAAGAATGAAAGAAAGAAGATATCGACGAGACGCAGCGTAGAATATCGCCGGGGAGAATGTGTCGGGGTCGCGTATGCGTCGCTACGCGCGTAGTTGGCCGCGGCGGCGCGGGGCGGCGCGCCGAACTCCCGCTCTGAGGTTTGACGAGGTGTCACGTGACCCACGCTAACCGCCATCTTTCCTTATCGTATAAACAGTGCGACCGGGCGCAGCGCGAATTCTCGCCGTGGAATCGTGGATTTCCCAGTGTTTTTGAGTGATTCGCACGCGAAGAGATGTCCGACGCCAAGACGGAGACCAAGAGCGACAACAACGTCGAGGATGCGTCCAAGGTATGCGGGCCGGCGGGCACGTCAGAAACACCTTCGTCAAGCCGAGTTTTCATGCCGTGAGCGGCGTGTGCGAGCGGCGGTGAGCGGTGAGGCCCCCTCTCCCCCCTCGCGATTATCGCTGGCCGCGGAGACGCTCGTACGTCGGTACCGCGCGTACTCCCGGGGACCTTGGACGCCGTGGACGCCGACGTGCCTTCGCCGCGACGCGTCGTACGCGACGCGGCCGCGCCATGTGGCGGTCCGCGCGTCGGACGACGGCGCCGCGCGCCGACCGCCGACCGACCGACCGACCGACACCGACCGGCCGCGCCGCTCGCTCGCCCGTCCTGCCTTCCATTCTTCCATCCTTCCATCCGGCGAGATTTCTCGTGGCTGCGCCGTACGTATGTACGCACATCCTCTCCCGTCGTCGCCAAAGATGGTGGATGTTTTCTTATCGCGTGAGGCGCGAGCTTCTCGCGGTCGGGGGGAGGCTCGCCCCGCTCGCCGCCGCCGCCGCTCTCCTCTCATGGCTCTCTCTGTCCGTCTCTCTCGCACCCGGTCGCTCGCACGCCGTACATCTCGGCGCCGCGCGAAAAGGCGGGAAATCACCGTGGCGAGCGGCGTCAAGCCAGGAACGTGGCCGCGGCGACGTGCCGCGCGACGGTCGTCGTCGGCGGGCGACGTCGCGTCCATGTCCGCGAAACGCCACACGCCGCCCCGCCGACCCCGCCGTCGACGACCGGGCGGGAGTCGCGCGCGAGGCGTAGACGTTGGCGACGGCACGGGCGGGCGCACGGCAAAATGGCGGGAAACTTGAACGAGACATTGGCCTCGGCCGCGGGCCGGCCCCGCGGTTCAACGGTCCCCTCGATAATCTTATCGCGCTCGAGCGTCGTGACTTATCGTGTCATGTCGCGTGGTGCCGTGCGCCCGTTGTCCGCGCCTTCTGCGCGGCTCCCGACTCCCTCGGAATAATCTCCGAGTCTCGAGACGTCGCGCTTGCGGCTGCGTAAGAACACAGACGTGCGTTTCTCTCTCCCGGAGAAATATGGATACGTGCACGCACACGCGCGCGGACGCTGCGCGCGGGCGCGCGGCTGTACGTGTACCCCCGCGACCGTGTACCGCGCGCGCGACATTAATACGTATTCGTGTGCGAGTTGCGAGAGCGAATGAATAGGAAGCTTGATTTTTGCAGGAACAGTCGACGGAGGAGAAACCGACCCCGACGAAAAACAAACGAAGCGGCACCAAGAGACTCTCCACTCTCGAGAGGACCGCTCAGGAGGGCGAGGCAATCTTAAAGGTGCGTCTCGCGGCGGAGCCGCGCGATTATCTAGAGCAGGAAAAACATTGCACGTCGGATCGAACCGGCTTATCGTACGACCCAAAAATCTTTCTCGAGGTCCCGCTGGTCAAGGTCCTCGACTCCCTCCCTCCCCCCCCCCCTCGCCATTTGCCATCGGTTATTTCCCTCCGTTTTAGCCTCTCCGTCGTCGCTTCGCTTGCTGCCTACGTGAACGGCGTATACGGCGTCGGGAGTGGGGGACGTCGATTGGCCGGGGTGGGGACGATAAGGAGGGAAATAAGCGCCCTCGGCGAAGCACGAGGAATCAATCGTTGCGTAGGCGCCAATTACAAATTGCTATATCCGATGTTAGGAATTGACCAATATTAATTAGAATTAATTAGAATTAATTAATAAATTAGAACTACGATCAAAATTGAGTACATAAAAATCCGCGTCTTGCGATTCGTGATTCGTTGCACTGCGCTTTTCAAGGAAAGATCATTTGACGTGTCTTGAATTATATTTCTTTTTGTCGTAGATACATTCGGTCATTCGTTTTATAAACGTTTGCTATATTACTACAGGGCATGAACAAATCCGTCGGTGAGGTAGAAGGCAGGAGACGCACTCGCAGCTCAGCCAGAGGCCTAACTTCAACAACGCCAGTGCCATCGCCACCCAAGAAGGAGAAGAGGGAAACATCGACGCGAGGTGGCGGCGGTCGCGGGCGCGGGCGTCCCAAGAGGCAGGAGAAGAACAATGAAAACAACACAGACGAGGAAACGTCCAACAACAAAAGCGAAAAGCACACGGAAGAGGAGTCTACGAAGATGGAGGTAGACGAGGAGAAAGAAGAGAAGGAAGAGAAAGAGAGCAAGGCGATACAGAACGAAGACAAAAACGCGGAGGGCGCGGACAGTAAAGACAGTAAAGATGCTGAGAAAGTGACCGATGCGAATTCCAAGGATGAGAAGGTGACGGAGGAGTCGGAGAACGTGGACGAGGCTAAGAGCACCGCTCCTAGCGAAGAAAAGAAGCAGGAGGAGGTGAAGGACAGCTCGGACTCGAGTCAAGATGCGACGGACACAGCAGCGGAAGCGCCGCCTTTATCCTCATCGGAGTCCCAAAATCCCTCCAACACTATTACTACTGAGGAAAACAAGGAATAACCTCCCTTCGCCTGTTTTACCACTACTTTTATGTAAGTATCTCACAATCTATCCTTTTGAAATCACCGACATCACCGATTTTTCCCTTAAAATGTACGACTGTTAACG